AATTCAAATTATTTTCGAGTTATACAAGAAAATTTTATTTCAAAACAACATAACATTTTTTTTTCTTGGTCGCTACAAGAGATCTCACACTTCGAAAATGAGCTTGCAAGTAGAGAAAGTATTAAGCAATGAGAACCCATTCTAAAGTTCAAACAGTTAGGTGAAAGAACTTACCGATAGAAGAATAAGTGGTTGGAACTGTAAGAGAATCCATGGGGTCATCCTCCATGGTGTCCTACCTCCCAGATACCCAAAACCATGATCTACTCCACTCCTTTACCGAAGAGGGCATGTCTATCACGAAGGGAGAGTGAGATCCCCAAGGAGTTAAGTAGTACCACCCCTTACTTTTATCACCTCCAGCTATGCTCTTGGAGAAGTACAAATAGTGGAAAACACATAAGGGCATATTGACGCCCAAGTTTGCTTGAAGACGTAGCATCCATGACCCAACCATCTGTCCCAAGAGTTCGGATGGAATTGGGTTAGAGCTAGCAAATATGAATGTAGAACTAACCTAAATAAGGGGTGGAATGGGAGCCTAAGACCTCTCTTTCAATAAATTTTCACTAATGGCCACACAACCTAGCCTGGGGTAACAGGCTCTTTCGTTGGGGTCAAGAATAATGATATCTATACTATCAGGAATCCTAAAAACCTCTCTACACCTAACTAATTTCTCCGAAGTGATGTTGGAAGGATAGTTAGAGGCCCCTCACTTAATTGAGGTATCTACAGAAGGGATGGGCAATTTTCATATATTTTATCCCGGCCTGATAGCCTTACCTATCTCGTTTGAGGAGATAACAATTGGCTCCCTCAACTCCGAACTCTCCACGATAGGCCGCTCCTAACTCATGAACTTAGGTCTAGAAACTTTAGATGCCATTCATTGTCAATTTTGAAATAAAATGTAAAGGAAGGAGAATTACCTAAAGGTTAGGTTTTGAGTGAAATGGCGGTCACCGTGACTTATCAAAGAATGCTGGAGTTGCAAAGTGTTGATCGCCGCAAAGAAGAGTTGCAAATAGGATATTTTGCGAAGAAATGGAAGTAAAAAACAAATGAGTTTGGCCTTATATAGTTGATGTCAACAAGCCTCAACCGTTAGATGGTTGTTGATCCCATCCCCACCGTCCATAGTTTTAGCACATCAGCACCGTTGAATTCAGACGTCACTTGATGAACGGCCCTGATGAATCGGCATGTCTTACACGTATGCACAAATGCGTAGCATTGAGCTCACGCAGTTGTCACCATGATTACTATTTATTACCTGGGAAACGTGTCTTGGAAGCAAGCGACGCCTACCAAAATTGCCTTGGGAAAATGCAAATGTTTTCAAATTATTAAAACACAACCCTAGGTTGTCCAATCACTTAACCCCTTCTGCAACTTTCTTTAAAAGTTACAATCACTCAAGGTTTCGTCATCTTCCTAGGACTTCGTCTCTACTACAACTTTCTTTGAAAGTTGCACTAGGGACTTCGTCATCCTGTAAGGACTTCGCTTTTGCTACAACTTTATTTAAAAGTTGCAATCACTTTGGGCTTCGTCTTCTTACTAGGAGTTCGCTTCGCTACAACTTTCTTTAAAATTTGCAATCTCTCAGGGCTTCGTCCTCCTGCTAGGACTTCCCTTCTACTACAATTTTCTTTAAAAGTTACAATTACTCAGGGTTTCGTCCTTCTGCTAGGACTTTGCCTCGGCCACAACTTTACTCAAAAGTTGCAATCACTAAAGGTGTCTTTCAATTAGGAAACTACCACCAATGCCTATACCCCCACAAAAGTAATACTCCTTTTAAATCGTTACATCAAAAAAGTCCATGCATTATATGAATATCCATACATGGACTTGAGGGACTACTGTTAGGGTTTCCATGTATCTCCCAATCATCCACCACGTGTTGGATGATGCGGATAGACGAATTGAATCCATACACTACGTGGCAGAAAAACTGGATTAAAGAATTCTCCTTAATAAAAGAATCCATATGCTACGTGGCAGACAAACTGGATTAAAGAATTCTCCTTAATTAAAGAATCATAATCGACTTTCTCTGTTTCAAAATCATTTTGAATTTTTAAAAGTTCATTTACCTTAATTTCCAATAAAGAATTTTTCTTTTTGAGGTTTGAATGACTTAAAGTAAGTTTTTCAAATTCTTCAAGAATTTCATTATAAGAGGTAGATAATTCATCATATGAACAATTTTCATTTACATCATTTTCAATAGCCATGAAGCACATATTGGCAATTTCCTCTTGACTTTCATCATCTTCATGTTCACCATCGTCACTTTCATCTCATGTTGTTTGGAGTGGTTTCTTTTCGACGAATCTATTCTTTTTTCCTTTCATTTTCTCATTTCTTTTGGAATCGATGATTTTTACGAAAACCTTTCAATTTCTTAACAAGAAAAACTAGATCCCTTCATCATTCATATTTTTGCTTGAAGTGCCTTCATCAACTACGGATTTTAATGCAATTTGACGCATTTTATCTTCTTTGCTTTTCAATATTTTCTTCTTTGTCTCAGTGCGATTTAGCTCATATGTCATTAATGTTCCATAGAGCTCTTCCAATGGATATGTGTTAATATCTTTGGTATTTTCTATCAACATTATCAATGGACTCCATTCTTTCGAGAGCAACCTAAGCACTTTACTTACAAGTTCACCATTAGTGATTTTTTTAATCAAAGTCTTTGAGGCCATTAACAATATTAGTAAAACAGGTGATCATGTCAACAATCGGTTCATTTTCTTTCATAAAGGAATTTTCAAAATCTTTAACTAAGAGATTTATCTTAATTTCTTTCACTTTAGTAGTTCCAACATGAATAATTTTTAAAGCATGCCAAACATCATAAGCGGAATCACATATACTAATACAATTAAATTCATTTATATCTAAAGCACAATAAAGTATATTTTAAACTATAGCATTTAAAGACAATTTTCTTTTATCCTTTTTATTATATTCCTCTCTAGGTTTAGAAATCATTCAATCCGGTTTACCATCCTCTTTAATAACATTTTTAGGCACATAGGGACCAAA